CTGTGTTTTGATTGGATTGTTTATCTTCCTTTTGTTAAGTTGTATGAGTTCCCTATAAATTTTGGAGATTAGGCCCTTATCAGATATGACATTGGCAAATATGTTTTCCCATGCAGTGGGCTTTCTTGTTGTTTTGTTGATGGTTTCTTTTGCTGCACAAAAGCTTTTTATTTTGATGTAGTCTCATTTGTTTATTTTCTCTTGAGTTTCCATTCCCCTAGGAGCAGTATCAGCGAAGAAATTGCTTCAGCATATGTCTGAGATTTTGCTGCCTGTGGATTCCTCTAGTATTTTTATGGTTTCCCGTCTTATGTTTAAGTCCTTTATCCATTTTGAGTTTATTTTTGTGTATGGCGTAAGTTGGTGATCCTTTTGATGTAGTCTCATTTGTTTATTTTCTCTTGAGTTTCCATTCCCCTAGGAGCAGTATCAGCGAAGAAATTGCTTCAGCATATGTCTGAGATTTTGCTGCCTGTGGATTCCTCTAGTATTTTTATGGTTTCCCGTCTTATGTTTAAGTCCTTTATCCATTTTGAGTTTATTTTTGTGTATGGCGTAAGTTGGTGATCCAGTTTCATTTTTTTGGAGTTTTAAAGGCTGTGCGTTTAGGGGAGTTGTTAGGGGTGAATTAATAGAATATTCATCAGCTTTATGCTAGTGTACCAAAATGAGATTTATTCTCTTAGTTTGTCAGTCCTTTGGTGTGGTTGACAAATGACACTAATTGGATTTGTTATCTGTTCCCTGAGTAGAGTGGTTTAAGCTATCTATCCCCTGGCTTAGGAAGAGAAGTGCAAACCATTTACTCTCAAGTGTCCTTGATTTAGGGAAGATGGGATTTACCAGGTGTCTGCAAACTGCTGTTTAACTCTTAGTTTCCCTATTCCACTTGTCCTCGAATTTTCCTAACTTTTATTATGCTATAACATTAACAATAACTCTAGTTAAGAGGAAAGACAAAGTATTATCTGCATTTTACAGATGAGGAAACAGTCTTAGATAGTGGAAGTAGCTTTCTTAAGATCTTTTAGCTAAAATCATGGCAGAATGAGGGCTTTGATCTGGCTTGCACCAGCTCTCAAGATTCAATTGGGTGCATCTCCTCCCAACTTCCACATTCTGTGATGTCACATTGATAACTTGAAATCATCTGTGTTGAGAGTATTTATATCATAGAAATTAGTGAATTATCTGAATTAAGCTTTTTTTTCTGGGGGTAGGAGGAGTTGACTATTTGCTAAACATTAACCAGCATACTGTTGTAGGCAGTGGGAATAGCACTGGGTGTTAGATCCATGGGATCAGACTGGACTTGGGTTCAGCAACCTCGGTACTTGGGTTCTGGCTAAGAAAGAATTCAGAGCAAAGACCCAAACTGTAAGAGAATATTTATTTAGTCAATCACAGAGGTAGAAGAAGTAATTCCTGGAATAAATGGACTTAGGAAACAAGTTATAGAGATAAAGGAATGGCCTTTGGAGCTTGGGAGTGAGGAAGCTAATGGTAACATGCCTGGGGCAGGGGGAGGTAGGGGGAAGGGAAAGGGAAAGCCATGGGCATTTTCCTTGTAGGGAGAACCATTAGGTCCTTATCCTAAGGGTTTTAAAAGTGGAGATTTTATGGGAGGTCCCAGGGGAAGATCTTAATAGAATATTCAGTAGCTTTCCAGTTGTGTTCTCTCAGGGTTGTGGTCTCCACTGATTGATTCCTGAGTGCCAGGGTAGGGGGTCATTATTCAATGCAGCTGGTCCTGAGGGCAACCATGGAGTCACTGATCTGGTTTTGATGCTTTTTGGGCTTAGAACTAAAATATAATTGAGGCATAGATGTTATCTCTATGGAGGAAAGGTCAGGGGGTCCAAACCACATGACCAGTGATATGCTTTGTAGGAAAAATCACCCAGGGGGTGAGGTCCCACCCTACAATTGATTGTCCATTGCTAGGCACTGGGGGCTTTCCACCCTGGTAAGCTTCTGTACCTGGCCCATCATCCTTGCCTTGCTCATGTCTGTCTAACTGCCTACCACAATATCAATTGCTCCTCTTGTATTTAGCAGTTGCCAGTATGGCTTTATAAAGCTGATGTTAGCAGTCTTAACTCCTAACTGATAGTTGAACTCTGATTTGAGCAGAGGATGATTATAGCATGACGAAAATTTATATAAAACCCTCACATAGGTCTGAAGGGGTCACAAAGTGGGCCTGTGATGAGGTGGGTTGGGGTGGCCAGCACCATGTCAAGGCAGGGGAACCATGGCACCGAGAGCAAGAAAATGAGCTCTGAGGTCTTCACCCTGACCAATGGGGCTCTGGCCACCCAACTAAGCAAGGACTAGGAAAATGACAAAGATGTGAATAAACAGCTGGACAAAATTGGCTATAACATTGGAGTTCGACTGAAGATTTCTTGGCACAGTCAAATGTGGGGAAATGTCATGACTTTCAGGAAACTGCCAATGTGAAGTTCAAGATGTACTTGGACATCATTCCAAGTATCACCAATTAGAGCCCAGCTGGTGATGAATTCTCCCTCATTTTGGAAAATAAACCCTTGGTGGTCTTTGTGAAACTTCCTGATAACCACCCATCCCTTATTTATTCCAGTCTCTTGTGTGGGGTGTTTCGGGGAACTTTGGATGTGGTCCAGGTGGCTGTGGAGGCCAAGTTCACACAGAATACCCTGAAAGGAGTTGGTGTGGCAGAAATCTGGATGAAGTTAATCAGGTGGATTAAGAACAATCTCCCAGTTGGAGAGGAATGACCATCCCTAGGACTTCAGGGTAGCCAGCAGGAGCACTGGCTGGCATCAGGAAGTCTCTGTGCTCCCTCTGCCCTCTAGAATTCAGTGACTCTTTAACATGGATACTATATATTCTTCTAACCTTGTTTCCATTCTCCATGCTAGTGAAGAGCAGACTATGATATAGTCGATTTACCCCACAAGTGTGCACATTCAGAAGGGCAATCCTTTGCTCCCTTCAAAGGGATGGAGTAGACATCTTTGGACTAGAAAGAGCTCAACCATTTTACATTCCTGTTTGAATTTCCAAAGCAAAACCCACTTTGACCCAGTTAAGAGGAAAGCCTAGTGCATCTATCCCTGGGCCTTTAGAAAACCATTGGTACCTGGCTGTAGGGGACCCAGGGTTGTGGGATGGGGAGGAGAGATGAGGAGGGGTGGGTGGAAGCTGCTAGCAGAAGTGTGACATGTCTAGTGTTTGACAGGAGAAGAGAGCCTGTTGTGCTGGAAACACTGACTTGTGGGAAGCCACCCAGGTTTCATTCTTCCATGCTGTTTGGAGGCAACATTTCCTCTTTTTACAGAGGGTTTATCCTTTTTTCTTACAAATTCTTCAATAAAGACACATAGATAATTTTATCTTCACGTAATAACCCAATGCAGAAGTTAAAATAAGTAAACCCTTGGGTCCAAAGAAATGTATAGACTTTCTCCAGTCATAAATTAACATGACAAAAAAAATAGAAACACAATACTTCTCTGAGACTCCACATTGCCTATTCTCTGACAGAGAAACTTATTAATTAGGGGATAGGCTAAGCTATTATAATTTTTTAAAATCCCTAAAATACAAGGATTTAATAAGATAGAAATATCTCCCTCCAAATTCCTCAATAAAAATGGCTTTTCAACTTTAAACAAAATGTTTAAAAAGTTAGAAGTTTCTTTCTCTCACATAATGATAGTCCAGGAGTAAGGGGCCAGTTTATACCAAGAAATAACTCAGCTCTAGGAAGTAATCTAAAGATCTATTGGTTTATTCACTAATTTTTTATATTGTTACTTTACTTTTCCTTAGGGCATAGAGGGTTGTCTTTATTCACATGGTTACAGCTGGCTTATCTGAATACAAGCCTGAAAGAAATGGAAAGAATGGAAATCAAAGACCAGCAATTTTCTTTTTAAGGAATGACACTAAAGTTGCACACATCACTTCTGCCCATATCTAAATTTCACAGGGCCACACCTGGCTTCACGGGAAGCTGAGGAATGGTTTTTAGCTGGGTATTAGGTACTCAGCTTCCTAAAAGGAAGAAGGGTAGACCATACCCTGCAAGACTTCATCAACTTCTCAGATGCTTGATTCCATGTGTCAGGTACTATACTAATACCTTTATCCTTTTTCTGTCCAGGACTTTGAAGGAGATTATGCAACTGTGCTGAATTGGGATGAGATCAAGACCCAGAAGCACCTGGAAAATCACTTCTGGCCACATGGGATGATGACCATAGAGTGAGTACCATACTTAAGGATATGCAATCAGGGAAGAGTTGCACATATACTAGTATTAATCTAATCCACAGAGTCAATAAAAGACATGTTACCAAATATATGATTTCTCTCTCTCAGTGGCACTTGGGATATGGGTGCACCTTTGCACCTTACTGATGAGAGACATCTTCCCAGATAGTCCCCAGAAGCCACAGACCTTCTGGGCATTATATCTAAAGCCCTCACTTTTTTTTTTCAAATTTTTCTAATACCATTTGAAATTGCTGAGAAGATAGATTAACCGAGGTTAAAATTTGGGATTAATGGATATTGAGAAGAGGAGGAAATGCAAGATGCAGTTTCTGGCACATTCTATCCTATATTTGAGGATAGAATATAATCATGTTTGCATTCTACTCCTTTCTAGTTCTCCTCATTGTTTTCCCAGGCTGGCAGAGGGTCTGTTTCTATAGTCAGAATGTTAGTTCTCTAAAAGAAGGGGTTATACTGTGTATTTTCCTGACCTCCACTTAAAGCCCCTCTAGCATAAAGGGTACTCACTCAGAAGCTGGTTCCCAGCACTGTTTCAGGCACATGGCATACATACTTTCATTGATTTATTCACTAATTTATTTCAGCAAATATTTATTCCATGCCTATTTTGGTCTGGGTGCCATTATATTGTTGGGAACACACCTGGAAAAGAGGGAGCAGGAAATAGTATGACATGAGATGAACTTTTTGAATTATATAAGGACAAGATCATTTAGGCTTTGTGAATTTAGGATTTTATTCTGAGATGAGCAGCCATTGGAGGGTTCAGAACTGTGAGATGACATGGTCTGACCTGTATTTTTCAAAAATCACTTTGAGCCCGGCAGGTGTGACTCAGTAGTTAAGCATTGGCCTATGAACCGAGAGGTCATTGGTTCTATTCCTGGTCACGACACATGCCCAGATTGCAGGCTGGATCCCCAGTAGGGGGCATGCAAGAAGTAGCTGGTTAAGGTTTCTCTCTCATCAATGTTTCTATCTCTCTCCCTCTCCCTTCTTCTCTCTGAAATCAATACAAATATATTTTTAAGGAATCACTTTGAGCCCTAGCTGGGTAGCTCAGTTGGTTAGAGCATAGTCTTTATATGCCAAGGTTACGGGTTTGACCCCCAGTGAGGACACATACAAAAATCAACCAATGTATATATAAATAAGTGAAACAACAAATTGACCTCTCTCTCTCTCTCTCTCTCTCTCTCTCTCTCTCTCTCTCTCTCTCTCTCTCATTTCTTCCCTCTCTAAAACTCAATAAATAAATAAAAAAATTTAAAAAGAATCACTTTGGCTATTGTATAAAGAATAGATTGTAAGGAAGTAACAATGGAAGTAGGAATATCAGTTAGAAGGTTATTGCTCTAGTCAAGGTGAGAAATGATGGCTTGGAATGGATGTGAGAAATAGAGATATTTATTGAACATTGAAGATTGTTGATGTTTGTTATTAGATTATCTCTTGACCTAAGTTTCCTTGTCTGTAAAGTAGGGTTAATAATTCATACCTGCAACAAAACATTGTTGGAAGCAAAGTGTCAAAAGATAGCCAATTAGTAAAAGGTTTTAAAACGACCACAGCTTTGATCTTCATCCACTGTTTTCTCTCTTTTATCCCCACACTCCACTTCCAAGGTAACAAAAGAAATTGAATGTCTGAAGAACCATAATTTATGTTTTATCAGTTCCCCAGATCCTTAGCCCTTTCTTCTCTGTCTAACTTCTTCATGATTACATAGACACCTATGAAACTATTCTGCAGGACCAACTCTTTTCATCAGCAGCAAATTACTTGAAGTGGAATTTTTTCAAAGCAAATAATAAACCCTCTTCACCTTCTAACAAAGTTCCTTCCAAACATACTCACTGTTTGGACTGTTATAATAAAAGATCTTAAATTTGTTTTTTTCACTAACAACCAGAATTTATTTCTGACAGTTCTGAATGCTGGACATCTAAGATCATAATGTCAGGATGATCAGGTTTTGGTAAAAAGCCTCTTCTATGTTGCAGATGACTGACTTATACTGGTATCCTCACATGGCAGAAAGAAGAGTGAGCTAGCTTTCTGACCTCCTGATGTAAAGGCTCCACCCTCATGACTTAATCACCTCCCAAAAGCCTCACCTTTAAATACCATCACATTGTGAATTAAATTTCAACATATGAATTTGGGGGGACACAGACATTTGGTATAAAACACTTACCTGCTGAAGTTTAAGGCATAAGTGCTGATGCCACTACACTGTCATTCTCCAAAGATACCTGACAAACACACCCCTGGTTCAGCTTCTAAGTTAGGCATGAACCCACTCTGATCATGATATCTTTGTGTTCAGAGATAGATTTCTACCCACTCTCCCTCACCCCAGTTCGACACACTTACCTCTAGGTTCTGGAGGTAAGAGACAGACTGCTGACAGTCTCAAATAAAGTTAGCAAGAGAACCTCATATGCACTGCCTAACTTTTCTTTACTCCAAAACTTATCTGTCACCATTAAATCAGGAAAGACCTTCAAGACCTCATGTATTTCAAGATTCTTGTTTTATAGGTGTGGATGCCCAGAGAGATAAACTTTGGTCAAAGGCACTCTTTAGAACAATAATAATAATAATAATAATAATAATAAGTACAACTACTATACTCTTATACCATGAACCAATTACTCAGTCTTCACAACAGTTGCATGAGGTAAATACTGAAAGTTTAAATAATTTACAAAGTTCTGACAACTACTAAGTATTAGAGACAGGATTTCAACCCTCTACTTCCTGCTAAATCCAGTCTTGCTTTATAGCTTGATCTCTCTAGCAGAAAGCTAACTAAAGTCCCGTTCTCCAGACTCCTGGATAGATACTTTTCCCAATATGTATAATTGCTAAATAAATCCAAATGTAAACACACAGAATCAGGCAGTGAACCTTCAACAAACACACAGACACTTGGGTAAGGTGATCCCGGAGATATATGACAGCTGTTTGGTGCATCCCAGTAGCTCAAAGTATGGTACAGTGTTTCAGAAACGGTTCAGAAGCAACACTGGCAGACAGGCTCTCCCACTGTGAAGTTCTTTTTTTCTGGGGAGTGACCTGTTTTCCTCACTTCAAGCATTCACCAGTTTCAGAAGCTTACTTACCCCTTGAAGGTTCTCTTTAGCTCTGTAATTAAGTAGAGGGAAAAGTTCTCAAAGGAGATAGCCAGAGGTAAAGTGACAAGTGCTCTCTTTTCCCCAAAGTGAATGCTACAGGTGCATTCCAGACTATTGTCTACAATTATTTTTATTGAAAGGGAAAATGCATTTTTTTCCAATAGCACCTGGGCAGTGGATTGTTACTTGCAAGATAGTTGTGCTACCTGTGGCTTGGATTACTTGCTTCTCTCAAGAGAAAGCTTTCCGATTTAACATATGTCACAGGTTTGACATTCTTCACCCATCCCATCCATCCAAGCCATCGTTCTGATGTACGTGAATATCTGTGCACACAAAAACAACCATACAATTAAGAATATATTATTCAAAGAACAAGGACATTACAAGGACCTTACAGCCTACTTTATTTTTTTAATACTTATGTGTTTAGAGTCTTCAAAAAAGTAACATTTGCATCCATTATATTATTTTGCTTTGGGGGAAAACATTTTACAGATTGGTACACATTTATGTACCAGCCCTCATTCTACATCCTCCCAGCTGAGTATGTGAGACCTTGGGCAAGTCATAGCAATGCTTTGAGTCAGTTTCCTCATCTATATGAAAGGGAGTATTCTCCACTTCCTAAGGTAATGATATATATTAATCCAGTGAATAAGTATAAATCACATAGCTCAGTGCCTGGCCCATGCTTAATTTATAAAGATGAGTTTTATTTCTCTTTTATGTAGGAATTAACTGATTTTTTTTGAAATTTGCATTTGAGGTTTTTTATTTCTCATTGCTGGCACATTGGAAAGGGAGTCACCAGTTGAGCTGCTTGGTCAGGTATCTGGCAGACATTTCAGAAGGGGCTATCTGTATTCAATACCATCACCAAAATTACCAACACCACCACCACCACCACCACACTATCATTGCTAAGAGTTAGAAAGGGTCAAGGAAGTTTTTATTTAGGTGGTTAAATTTCACCTATCTTATTTATATCCTACCTCTGTCATGCAAAATATTTATTTTGTCCCCCCTTAGATGAATGTATTTTTACCACACCAGAACTTACAAGGTTGCAAGGGCCCAAAAAATCCAAAGACAACATTTGCTTTCTAAATTTTTAAAATTTCTTAAATTTTTATATTCATTTTCACTTTTCATTTTTAAACAATTGTAGTTTATAGTAATGTGTAAAGAAATATGGAAGTCCCGAGCATCCTTCACTCAGACTTCTAATTTTAACATCTTGTGTAACTATAGTGCAATGTCACAATCAAGGAAATAATATTGATAGGATCCATGGAGCTATTCACACTCCCCTAGTTACATATGAATGTGTGTGAGTATTTATAGCTCTGAGCAATTTTAAAGCACATACAGCTTTGTGTAATCACCACCTATCAAGAGAGAAAATAGTACCATAACCACAGGTACTATTGGCCCCTTATGCTACCACTTTATAACTATGCCACACCCTCTCTCCCTGTCCATAGCCCAGAGCAACCAATATATTTTCCATCTGTATAATTATGTTACTTCACAGATATTATATACATAAATGGTATCATGCAATAGGTACCCTACTGAGATTGGCATTCTTCTCCCTAAACATCCTTTCCTTCACTTTCAGCTAAGTTGTTGTCCATATCAATAGTTAATTCCTTTTTTATTTTTCAATTACAGTTGATATTCAATATCATTCTGTATTAGTTTCAGATGTACAGCATAGTGGTTAGAAAATCATGTACTTTACATAGTGTTCCCCCCAATGTTTCAAGTACCCACCAACCTGACCCCATAAACAGTTATAATATTATTTACTATATTCCCAAT